CTCTGTGTTTCTCCCCGTTAGCAGATATTTTAATGTCATCACATCGCATGAAATGGAATTTTCAGTCTATTAACTGTGAAAAAAGAAAGAAAGCTCAGAAGGTCCTTCCAGACCCTAACCCTCAGCTCAGGAACATATCCTGCTTTCTTTTTTATTCTTTTTGTGTGCTGCTGAGGTTGAACTTAGGGCCTTCATACTGAGCTACATCCCTAGGCCTCTTTTAATTTTGAGACGGGGTCTCCCTAAGTTGCTAATTTGCCCAGGCTGGGCTCCAGTTTTCAATCCTCTTGCCTCAGCCTCCCAGGTGTCTTATTACAGGCACGGGCCACCAAGAGTGCTTGAGAATCCCTGGTGACCCACAGAGCAGCCTACAGTGACAGGATTCCTCCCAAGTCAATGGGTGGGTATAGGCAGGCGGGCGAGCAGAGAGGCAGTTTTTCTTCAGCCAGCTTTGTTCTGACTTGGGGGCAGCTTCCGCTCTGCAGTCCGCCTCTGCGGGTCTACTCCTGCTGAACAGGGTGGTTGCTGAACAAGCGTTCATGTGGGAGAACGTCATCTTGCCAGGGCCCACCCATGCCCCCATCCTAAGCAGCTTTCCCACTCTTCATGGAGTGTGTGTGTGCGTGTGTGTGTGTGTGTGTGTGTGTGTGTGTGTGTGTGTGTGTGTGTGTTAAAACAGGTCTCCATATATAGCCCAGGCTGGTCTCAAACTCATGGCAATCCTCCTGCCTCAGCCTCCTGAGTGCTGGGACTACAGGCCTACGCATACCACGACTGGCCCTAGTTTTCTGTGTATGGCCTCTGGGGAGGTGGGACCTCCCTGAGGGGGCTGCCTGCTGCCCCAAGCCAAGCCGGAGAAGGTGTGGGGGCGACCTTACTGCTCAGACTCCTGCCTGGCTCTTCCCGGCCAAGGAGAAGGCTCAAGGAGAGGAAAGAGGTGAAAAACGCCAAAGCTAAACTCGGTTTTCCAAGAGCTTTTAATTTTTAATTTGCACCTCTCTAGGTTGTAGCCAATGGCGCTGGGACTTCTTTTTAACATTTGACTTTACTTTACTGCTTTGTGCCTCCTACACTTCCACAAAGGCATTTTAACTTTAAGAGAAAAGCTCATGGGGCAAGTCCTATGGCGTTCTGTGACCAACTGGACCCAACAGGTGTTTGCTGAGTGACTAACAGAATGAAGTGATTCTCTGGGAAAAATTTCAGAGATCCTTTGCCTCTCAGCGAAGTTTTTCTTCTTCCTTTACTAAGCTGAGGATTATCACCTACCATCTCCTCTACGGATGTGAGGAATTGGCAAAGTAGACTGCATGGTACTTGGGAACCTCTCAACCATTCAAGCTCTCTGAAATGGAATGTCCCTTTCTCTCACGCTTCAAATACTGTGTTTGGGTAACGCGAGCAACGCACTGCATGGCTGGAAAGCCAGGGGACCGCGATCCGTGCCACCTTCTTGGTCCAACAAGCGGCTCCCAGGCGGGCAGAGTAGGGGCCCAGGGTGCAATCTGGGTCGGACGTGGCGGCGTTTGCAGGGCTCGGCCACCGAGCGCGGCGGCGGCAGCGACTCCGTGGCCGGGGAGCTGGGGTGACGCGGGTCCACGCAGGTGTCCCCTGCGCGGGGTGCGCGGGGGTGCGCCGGGCCGGAGCCCCGAGAGAGACGTTATTGTTACACTGTAACGAGTCTGATTAACATGCTCCTGACACTTTCCCTTAGTTTCTCGGGCTCCTAGCAACAGCGCACAAAGGCGCGCGATTGTCCCGGGCTCCGCGGGGACACGGGGCAGCCTTTGATCTGCCACCGTCGCAGCCCGGCTGCGTGACGGGACGGCAGGGCCCGGGCGGCCGGGCTCCCCGCTGCGCCCCGCGCCCCG